AGTACCCCCAAGATTTCCAAGGATGCCTCCACGGCCTCCAGAGCACCCCTCAGAGGGCCCCACGGGCTCCAAAGCGGAGCGAAAAGCTGAGGGTGCCTTGGGCCAGGGGCACCCCTAGCAACCCCCGACCCGATGCTCCACAGGACGTGTGCTAGCCCAATGTGTGTTTGTGTGTGTGTGTGTGTGTTACCCTGTTGGGCCTGCGGCGGCCATCGTTTCAGCTCCTTCGTCGTATCAAAGGCTTCGGTGGGCCAGCGCACGTTCGCGCTAGCTCACGTTTTGAGTGTCATCGGCAATCGGCTGATGCTCGGCTGGACCACAGTTGCGTCCGTCGCCTTTGATCTCGTCGTTTTCGGCCTCCAGGGGCCGTTGTCGGGCTCCAGGACCGTCAGAAACGGAGCCGTGATGACAAGTTACCCCCAGGGAAGTCCCCAAGACGATTCTTCAACACGACCTGCAAACAATTGCATTTTGCTTTCCCAGGGGGCCCAGGCTGCAGCATGAGCGGCCGCTCTGGAACGCTCTCAGAGGCGTCCACGCGCCCGCCCCCCTTCCTGAAGACGGGTGCGGCCTGCGAGCCCTCGAGGGGCCCCCGCGGTCGGCATGAAGGCCACGGGCCCCGAGGAGAAGGAACCTCCAGGCCCAGCGGCTCTCCCCGGGAGTCGTGCTCGGCGGCCCCCCTGCGCCCAGGCGAGGGCCTGCCTGGAGCTCACTCGGAGACGACGGGAAGCTCCCTCAGCACCCGCTTCCTTCGTGAGGCCTCTGTGGAGGTCGGGCGGGGCCAGGGCAGAGGCGAAGGAACGTTCCTGCGCGCTCCGCAACGCTCCCAGAGCGTTCCGAAGCGTTCTGGAGCGGCCGCAGCGCCCGATGCCTCCTCCGGGACCGCCAGATCTCAGAGGTCCCCGATTGATCCTAGTCTGACGTTGTCCTGGTCCTGGCCCCGTCTTCATGGGGTGGGGGGGCTTCGGCGCATCTGGCCTCAGCATCGTTGAACCTTTCCCCATCCCCACTGGGCCATGGTCTCTCAGCCCTGCCCGCACACCCTCCTAGTTGGGGGTAGGCCCTGCGAAACTAGAAGGACAGGGCATGCATGATCCCGGATCGAAGTTTCACAGGCCCCCCCCACACAGAGGCCGCGTCGTTGTCAAGATTGGCCCGGCGACGGACCCAATCATATGCAGTTGTGAGTGCCGTCGTTCTGAGTATCGCTTTCGGTGGACTTGCTTATGCGGCCATGAAGCGTGTGAAGGGTGTGCCGAGATGTGGCGGGGCCGCCATGCGGGCGCTGCCACTAGGGCCTTCGAGCATCTCGAGGAAAGTGGAATGAAGGAGGGGGGGCCAGCAACAGAAGTCACTGGGACCTTCGGTGGAGCACCCTATGGGGCCACGAGGCGTATGAGAGGTTCGCCGAAATGGCGGGTGCAACCGCATGGGGGCGCTGCCACTGGGGCCTTAGGTGGAGTTCCTTATGGGACCACGAAACATATGAGGGGTTCGCCGAAGTGACGGGTGGAACCGCATGCAGGCGCTGCCTTTGGGGCCTTCGGTGGAGATCCCTCATTCTGGGTCCACGATCCGTGTTCACCGAAGTTGCGGGTGGAATTGCATGCGGGCGTTGCCATTGAGGCCTTCGGTTTGAGCTCCCCATGGGGCCACAGCGCGTGTGAGAGGTGTGCCGAACTGGGGAGTGGAACCGCATGCGGGCGCTGCCACTGGGGCCTTCTGTGGAGCTTCCTATTGAGCCACGAGGCGTGTGAGGGGTGCACGGAAGTGGGGGTGGAACTGATGCGGGCGCTGCCACTGAGGCCTTCGGTGGAGCTCCATATGGGGCCACACCACGAAACTTGTGAGGGGTGCACCGAGATGGAGGGTTGAACTGAAGTGGGCGCTGCCACTGGGGCCTTCGGTGGTTCTCCCTATGAGGCCACGAAGCGAGTGAGGGTAGTGCCGCAATGGACGGCGGAACGGCACGCGGGCGCTGCCACTGGGGCCTGCCGTGGAGCCCTCTAGGGGCCACGAAGCGTGCGAGGGGTATGCCGAAGTGGACATGCGGGGGGTGCCGAAACAGACACATGCCGAGGGCAATGGCAGGGATGGGAGCATGACGGAGGGGGAGGAGGAAGGAGGAGAGGAGAGGAGACGCGGGGTGTCATTTCTTTAAACCGCCCAGGCTCCACCAGTGGGGACACCTCACAGAGGACCAATGTATGTTAAGTGGTTTTTCCAAGGTACTACTTGTGCTACGCCGACGAAGACCTCGTTGCAATGACTACAGGGCGACTGTTCGCCCAGCCGCTCTTTTGAAGTGGCTGCAGTTGATGTTTTACGATGCGTGAGGGCCCGCGGGAACAATCTCAACAGGAACTGGTCGCACGCCGCCGCCTGCCCCCCTTTCCTGCTCCCCTCCTCTTATATATCCTCGTTGCACACACTTCTACTTAACATTATTTCTAAACATCCTTGATAGAGACAATCGCCAATCGATCGAGTGAAAACATGTGAGTAGATCGAAACATATGGCGTTCTATATTTATCTACTTGATTTGGAACGATACGTTTGAAATAGACCAATTGAGTTTTTACATGCGTTTCCGACGGTGATAGGCCTCTGGGCAGATGGGATGGATTCCAGGGTTCCACAGCCCCCCCCCCCACAGATGGCATGGGGGGGACGGCGACGACGACGACGTCGCCGACACGGCACCAACGCCGACGTCGACGCTGACGCCGACGCTGACGCCGGCGCCGACGCCGACGTTGACGCCGATGCCGACGCCGACAGATAACGACATTGACTTTGACGCTGACGACGACGCCGACGCCGACGCCGCCGATGACGACGATGACTACGACGACGACACCGACCACGACCACGACCACGACCACGACCAGGAAACGACGACGGCTAACGCCCACCGTTCACCAAGTTGCGCCCACAGGGCCATCACCACAGGGGGACGTGGCTGCGATCCCATTCGCGACGCCTTAGTAAAGGCCCACGGTCGTACCTATCTAGCGGGGGAGGGGAGGCGATCCCATCAGCCTTGAGGGGATGATGCTCGAGCCTTGGGTCATACATAGATCCACCCAAGTGGGCAAGTCAGCCAGTGGGACCAGGGCCACGCCAGTGGGTACAAGTAGGGTTGGATAATCGGTGCTCGTACAGACACCACGGCAGCGTTGTGCCGCGTGGATGTTGCGGCAGTCTTGGCGCGGGCGTGCAAAGTTATCAATGCGGAACAACATTGTATCGCTTCACCGATCCTTATCCCCATCCCATCCCGATCCCCACCATCCCACCACCCAAGTTGAGGATACGCCCTTCGAAACCTGGAGGGAGCCATTCTGGCCCTGGCGACACCAGTGGGGACAGGGATCGGTTAAAAGATGCCCAGGTACCATATAGCGGCGCTCGTTCAAGATTGAAAGATCCACGGAGTGTCAGAAATCAGCGCCCATGGCCTGGCCTGGCTTGTTCGGGGTGTATCTCGTAGAACGGCAAGTTACACAAGCAGAAATTATCATAGGTAGGTCCGCCCTTATTTCTTGCCGAGGTCAGCGCCTCGCGGGCCTGGAGTCCAGGCGCTTGGAGCTCGTCTCCGAGCTGGGCCGGCTGCGCGAGCTGAGCGCTCAGGACTCTGCCGCCCCGCCCCTCGCAAAGGATGTGCTCTCTAGCCCGACCGATTTGGCTCGATGCCGACCTCGGCCAGCCCGATCTCGTTCGACCCCGACTTGGAGCTGGCTGGGGAGCTGCGGTGGCCCAGCATTGGTTCGGGCCAGCAGAACGGGGGCAGAAATGGGGACTCCGTGCCGGTGCGGCGCGCATTGGGTGCGCGGTCAGGCCCGATCCGGCTTCCTGGTCCGGTGCCGAGTGAGTCTGGCACCCCCTTGCGTATCTTCGGTGGCGGCCAAGAGGGGGGTGATGACTAGGGGTGTCTGGATATCATGGCGGGTGCCATGAGACCTCTCCGGATTCCATGGCCCCTTTTTTTCCCAACCATCCTGTGGTGTTGGTGTTGGGTCTTCGTTTTGAAGAGACGGTCCCTGCGTTCACTCCTCCCGCTGCCCCCTCCCTCCTCTGATCAACATCATCATCAGCATCATCATCAGCATCATCATCATAATTATCAGCATCATCATCATCATCATCATCATCATCATCATCATCATCATCATCATCATCATCATCATCATCATCATTACCAGCATCAGCATCAGCATCATCATCATCAGCATCAGCATCATCATCGTTATCGTCATTATCATTATTATTATTATCATCATCATCATCATCATCATCATCATCATCATCATCACCATCGTCGTCGTCATCATCATCTCCATCATCGTCCAACATCGACACCCATTTTGGCACACCTCACACAAACTTCGTGGCCCATAGGGAGCCACACCGAAGGCCCAAGTGTCAGCGTTCGCATGCGCCCATCGCACCCATTTTGGCACGCCCTCACACGTTTCGGGGCCCCATAGAGAGCCCCACCGAAAGCCCAAATGCCAGCTTTCGCATGCGCCCACCGCCCCCATTTTGGCACACCCCTCGTTTCGTGGCCCCACAGGGAGCCCTACCAAAGGCCCAGATGCCAGCTTTCGCATACGCCCATCACACAAATTTATGCACACCCCTCACACGTTTCGTGGCCCCATAAGGGGCCCCACCGAAGGCCCGAGTGTCAGCGTTCGCATGCGCCCATCGCACCAATTTTGGCACGCCGCTCACACGTTTCGTGGCCCTATGGGGAGCCACACCGAAGGCCCAAGTGTCAGCGTTTGCATGCGCCCACCCCACCCATTTTGGCACACCCCTCACACGCTTCGCGGCCTCATAGGGAGCCTCACCGGATGCGGTGCATACAACGGCTGTGCCCACATCTGCATACGGTTGGGTTCTTCGCCAGGCTAATTCGATACGCCCTTCGGCCCCCCTTGGGCCGCGTACGTGCCTCGGGCCATGATTTGAGAACCACCGTGTGGGACGCCCCCCTCTGGACGCCACCGGAGTCTTCCAGGAGGCAGACCGGGACCGTCCCGCGTCCCTGTGGTGTCTGCCCCTCCTCGTCTCGGGGACTGCCGCGCCCCTCGCGCTGTCTGCCCCTCCCCGTTCCCCCGCGCCGCTGCTGTGCGGGGATCGTCGCCGATCTCACCGCTCTCCCGGGCTTGCGTACGCACGCTCTGTACACTGGGAAGGCCTTGCGACTGGTACTGCCGACCCTGAAGGGGTACGACGACGGCGGCGAGGGCGGCGACGACGACGACGCTGACGCTTTGGAGCCCGTCTTGGGGCTTTCTTGGCGCCTCTTGGGCTCCTTTGGGGGGCCGCTGGGGAGGCCTGGGAGGCTCCGTCGCCACTTGGAGCCGCGGCGGACTGAGGCTTGCTGGAGGCATGTGGGAACATACGCAGCACCCCGCAACAGCAGCTTAGAGTGAAGAGGGTGCCTCGGGGGGGCGGGGTCCGGGAGGAGGGGTGGTGGTGGTGGTGGTCTCCTTGTCCGCAGAGAGGATGCGGGGGGAGGGTTCCTAAGTTCCAGCCGTCCACAGGGCGACCAACCCCCCCCCCGTCCCGTCCCCTTTGTCCACAGGGGCGACCCACGTGGGGGAGGGCACGACCCCCAGGACCCCCCCCCCCCCACCCCCGGACTCCCCCCCGCTCCACCCCCCAGGGAAGGGATCACAGGACAGGGGCCGCAGTTCGAATCAATGTCGACGTTGTTTGATTGGAGTCTGGTTGGGTCGCTTGAGGAGCAGGGCCCAGGGAGAGGGGGGTGGAGCGGCGACTACGACCACAACGACGACGACGACTCAAACGGGAGAACGTCTCACACACGCCGACAGGGTCGGCGGATTGTCGACGCTTCGCGTAATCCCGCCGGGTCCAGAAACGGTGCCCAGGCGAGTTGCCCTGATCAGGGGTGCAACTGTGGGCCGAAACCTGCGCTCCATTTCTCGCTCTCTCTAGACGGAATGCTCAAATCCCTGTCTTGCAACGTCCTGGTTTAGGAGGCCCTGGGTCAGGGCCAACAGAACCACCGCATCCAGAGTGTCAGAACGTGCACCCTGCACGCGTGAGGCCGCGGCTTTCCCCCCCGCGACGCGCCAGCCGTGCGCGTGGGTTCTCCTCTTCTACTGCGCCTGCGGCTACTTGCTCTCGCCCGCTTGCCTCGCTCCTGCATGGGCCTCTATTCTCGCGCGCCCCGCATCGGCCTTGACCGACTCGTACCGTGTCCGCATCCGCCGACCAAAACGTTTTTTGACTGTGCAATTGTCCGCACGAAGGTATGCCGAGCACGGGTGTTTTTGTGCGAGCGTGCACGTTTTTGTTATGAAGTGGCCGCTAGGGCTACAATATGTCGGCATTGTTGTTAGACCCCTCGGAGTGGTGTGCCTTCACACGTGCACCCTTCGATCATATGTGCGTTTGCTTGGCGTGGCGATCGTTGGCCTGGTCCCGCCAGGAGGCAGCGAGCGTCGAGCAGCTTAGCGAGCGCATCGAGGCGATCCGGAAGGAGTGGTGGGCCAGACTCGTGGTTGCCTCAGGCACGTCTCGGTTTAATGACCTCGAGATCCGAGCGTTGCAATGTTTGTACGCTTGGCGTTTTCCCCCTGTTGCGGGCCCGGTGACCATCACAGTTCGATATGGCTAGGGTTCTGGCCGTTATGTTTCGCGAAGTTGCTTTCCTTTTGCAGCGTCAGATCTGTGGGATGGGCAGGGTGCCCGAGTCCAAACCGCCGACGTTGAATCCACAACCCTCAGTTTCTCTCCCCATAGGCAGCAGTTTCCTAGCATTCAGCCCTGAATCTGTCCATCTGATCCCCGCAGCCTTACAGCGGGCACGAGGGTTACGAGCAGCCCGAGCTTTGGATGTGGTGTCCTTGTGTTCTTCGTGCACGGATTCCCAGTCTATTATCCGTCTTTGGTATCGTCCTGGGGCCTTATGCGCTCGGCGGAGGGACTAATGCGCTTGACCTACGTTCTTGTGGCCACGTTTCGACCGTACCCCTCCGTCTCCTTTCTCATGTCTCTATGAGCAACCGGGAAGAAACCACTTTCCCAACAGTGGAGGGAGAGCTCGTGGTTTGGTAAGCAAGCGGAGGGACTGACTGCACATGTTTTGAGAGGTGCGAGGGATGATCGGTTCGGCCGCGAGTGTGCAGAGGGGAGCGCGGCGTTAGGGGGGGAAGCGGAAGGGGCGCATTGGTGAGATATCGTTTTAGATCTCATACGGTGTGTGTTTTCAACATTTGGCCACCCAAGATCTCTCGACCCCTTCCCTGGGACCTGATTGTTCGTCGCGGGTTTTTGTTCATGCTTTTGTGGCCCGTAGCCTTTTCTCCCCACTCGGGCATGGCTACTCATGCCCTGCTCCTGCCCTGTTTGTATTGATGCTTGATCAGAAGTCTCGTTGTCGAAGTGCCAGCGCCGCCAGCGCAAAACGCGATTGATCTATTCATCGCGTTTTGCGCTCGCGACGCTCAGTGAGTTCGGGCGGCGGATGAGCTTCCTGGTGTCGTTCGCGCGGCGCGTCAAGAGGTTGCGATGCCGATCTCGCGCGCGTCAACCAAAGCGGCCTTCGGCCCACTGTCTCCCGAGCGCGCGCCCCTGTCGCCTACAGGACAAGTGCCGCCGTCTCTTGGGCGAGGATTTTACAAGTACCGACTTGCTGATCGCGCGAGAGGTTTGACTTTTGTCACCCTGAGACTCCTGCGCGAGGGGTCTGGCCAGGGCCGAACACGCGCGGAGACACGTGAAGGTGGCGACTGTTTCGCAGATCGCAGCCCCCCAAGGGACGGCGAGGCCGAATCTGAATCTGCGTAAGACGTCACTCCGTTGGACCCCCAAGCAGCCATCCAAAGTTGCAAGGGCTTCACACATCGCAGCCCAGGGATGGCGAGGTCTAATCTGAATCTGCGTGGGGCGGCACTCCGCCGGCCGCCAAGCAGCCCTCAAGAGTGGCGACAGGTTTGCAAGTCGCAGCACCGCAGGGGTTGTGGGGTCCAATGCGGATTTGCGTAGGGCGCTGCTACACCAGACCCCCCATCAGCATCAGAACGGGGCGTCTGCTTCGCAAATCGCGCCCCCGAGGGATGATGAGGTCGAATCTGAGTTTGCCTAGGACCTCACAATGCTGGGACCCCCCAGCAGCCCTCAAAGGTAGCGGCAGCTTCACATATCGCAGCCCCAAGAATATTGTGAGATCTCATTTGAATCTGCGAAGGACGTCACCATTCTGGACCCCCCCCCCCGGCAGCATTCGAATGTTGCGACAGTTTCGCAGATCGCAGCCCTCCAGGGATGGTGAGGTCGAATCTGAATCTGCGTAGAACAAGAATGTACTGTGCCCCCCCCAGCAGCCCTCGAAAGTGGTATCCGTTTCGCAGTTTGCAGCTCCCAGGGATGGTGAGGTCTGAATCCGCGTAGGACGTCATCATGCTGGACTCCCAAGCAGCTGACAGTTCCACAGATCACAGCCACCCAGACATGAGGTCTTATCTTGATCTGCGTAGGACGTTACTCCGCTGGACCCACAGCAGCCCTCGCAAGTGGCGACAGTTTCGCAGATCGGAGCCCCTCAGGGATGGCGAGGTCAAGTAGGGGGCGAGCTAGGAGGGAAGAGAGGAGGGAGGAAAAAGAGAACCCAGCGCAGGAGGGTTGGCAAGACATATGTCCTTCGACAAGGTCTTAAATCCTGGGTGTTCCACGTATGTTCCTGCAGGTTGCCCTTCTCCTGGATCTCGAGCCCCTCGCATTTTTGAATATTACCGCTCCCCATTGTCGCACTGTTGTTTTGACGTGTCGTGCGATCTGAAAGTTTGGATGTGCTTCGGGAGAGGTGTTTGCTCGGCCTCTTTGGGCGGGAGATCTGGGTTTGGGAATCTCGCCCCTTGTCGTCACTTAGTTTCCTCAAGAAGGGCATGTGGCATGTTGGTGCATGACGCATGACGGTAAACTGGTTGTTGTCGTTGTTGCTGTTGTTCTTCTTGTAGGTGTGGGGTTGGTGGTGTTGCAGTTCTTAGTATTGTTGATGTTTGCGTTGTTATTGTTGTTGTTGTTGCTGTTGTTTTCAGGTGTCAATTCTAAATGCTGAAAATTGTTCACCCCCTCTAGGGTGCACGTTGTGTTTATTGCAGTGCTCCTCCTGGACTTCGCACCTTGTTTAGTACAACGGGAAGTCCTCGGCCTCATGTTGTGTTGTTGGGCCCCGACCTACCACAACAGCAGCTCCTGCTTCATATACCTTCACAATGCATTCGGAATCGCATTTTCGTGCTGGACTTCATACACAATTGTACTTGAATCTCGCATTCGCGTGACACTCCATTTCACCTGTGTATGCAATCATATAAAATCCCATTCAGCTACGCCGCGCCCTCGACGTTCAGCTAATAACCACAATCTTGCAGTGTATTTCCTCACGGTTTACTTGGGAATCGATCGAGACTTCCTCGCGATTCATGCAGGATTGACGCTTCAACGACCCGCCTGCTCGACCAGGCCGTCTGGGCCTTCCCGCCAGACGCGACCCGTATGCCCCGCCCGCCCGACCCGCCTGTCTGGTTCTGCTGGTTGTTTTTTCTGCTCCTGACACCTCTCCTGCTAATCTCTGTCGTGGTCCGTCTATCTCTCTCCCCGTTGTCTCTTCCTTACTCCCCTCTCCTGTTTCAGGGGCTGAGCCAACTACACGTGGCAGGGAAGGAAGATATACCCCCAAGGGGAGTACGATCAAAGACGGAAAGGGCTGGTATCGAGGGTTTGGCATATACATGTTGAGTGGCACGCGGGCAGTTACCAAAGTCTTAAAACGATTGTTGTGGTGTGTTTGTTGATTTCTTTGTTCCAGCGAATCATTATTGTTGGTCCTTCCCTACGATGCCCATTGTGTTTTTCAGTTGACGTGCCCTTCCCGGGGCTCGCCCTTTTTTACGAGGGGAAATCTTGCGCCTCAGATTGTGTTGCTGGTCTCCAGTTTACATGCAGCAATAGCGGCTCCCGCCCGATAAGTCCTTATATTTTTCACTTTCACGCTCCTGCGCGGGACACCCTCACATTCTTCAGGAATGGCGCGTTCGTGGGGGTTTCCCCCGCAAGTTCTTAAACCGCCGTGCCCACAACAATTAGGAGTTTCTCCGCGATCCACGCAGGACTGATGCTTCAGCGACCCGCCCGGGGCCCGCCCGCTCGACCAGGCCGTCTGGGCCCGCCCGCCCGACCCGCCCGTTTGGCTGCGCGGCTTGTCTTCGGCTCCGGGCCCCCCTCCTCTGCAAGTCTCTGGCGCGTTCCATCCTTCTCTCTCCCCGTTCTCCCTTCCTCACTCCCTTGCCCTGTTTTAGGGGCTGCGCCAACCCCACGTGGCAGGTAAGGAAGATGTGCCCCCAAGGGGGGCATGTTGGAAGACAAAGAGGGCGTGCATCGAGGGTTTGGACATACATGTTGTATGGACAAGCGAGCGGATAGGAAGGAACAGTCTCCAAACTGTTTTGCTGCTGTGTTTGTTCGTGTTGTTGTTGAGTGGCTTTTGATTTGATGCTTTCCTCAAGGGGCTCGCATCGTTTTTTTGTACAAGGGGAAGTGTTGCGCCTCAGACAGCGATAATGGCCACCGAGCTACCACAACAACGGCTCCCGCCTGATACTCCTTCAAAGTTTATTCACAATCGCGTTCTCGCGTGAGATTTCCGTGCAGTTTATTGAGGAATCTCGTTCTCGCGTGGGCCGTCTTCGCAATTTATGGACCCCCCCCTCACACTCAGAGTCGCGCTCGCCCTTTGGACTTCCTCACGATTTACTCCGGAATTCGCTCGAGACTTCCCAACGATTCATGCAGGACTGACTCTTGTGCGACCCGCCCGTTACGATCCACCCGCCCGACCCGCCTGTCTGGTTCTGCCAATTGTTTCCTGCTCCTAAGAACTCTCCTGCTAATCTCAGCCGCGATCCATCCTTCCTCTCTCCCTGGTGTCCCTTTTTCCCTCCATTCTCATGTCTTAGGAGCTGCGCCGGCTACATGTGGCAAGGAATCGAAGATATACCCCCAAGGGGAATATGGTCGAAGACGAAAAGGGCGTGTATCGAGGTTTTGGGGTAGAGATGTTGAATGACACGCTGGCAGTTACAAAGTGAACAGTCTGAAGATGATTGCTGCTGTGTTTGTTGTGGCTGTTGAGTTTTCATTTGTCTTTTCAGTGTGATTGTGTGTTGATCCCTCCCTCCCACCGGTGCTCGTTTTGTTTTTTGAGTTGAAATGCCTCATCCTGCCTCCTGGGTGTCTGACACGGACACGCTTGCGCCTCAAACCGCGTTGTTGCCCCCCGAACTATTACAACAATGGCTCCCGCCTTCCAATTCTTTGACAATTTCTTCATTTTCGCCGTGTCTTGTGGGACTTCTGCGTATTTTTTTCAGGAATCGCGCTCTCGCGTTGGCCTTCTCCGCAATGTATGGGAATGCCTTGCCCTTGACACTCAGGCAACACGCTTTCGCTTTGGACTTCCACACAATTTACTTCGGAATCGCGCTATTACCCGAGACTTCCATACGATTCATACAGGGCTGACTCTTCTGCGACCCGCCCGTTCAACCCGGCCGTTTGGGTCCTCCCGCCCGACCCGCTTGTTTGGTTCTGTCGCTTGTTTCCTGCTCTTAACCTTCTCTCCTGCTAATCTCTGTCGCTTTCCATCCTTCTCTCCCCCTGGTGTCCCTTCCTTTCTCTGCTGTCGGAGCTGCGCCAACCAGCCTTGGCAGGTAAGGAAGATAGACCCCCAGTGGGGGCGGTACGAGCGACAACGACGAGGGCGGGTAACAAGGGCTTGGGGTACGCATGGGCATCGGCACGCGATCAGGCACGAACGAGCAGCCTCCAGATGTTGGCTGCTGCTGCAACGACCAGGACGACAGGGAGGACCCGGGCGGCGGCGGCGGCAGTGGCGGCGAGGGAAGAGACGGTGTGCCGCCTGCCCCCCCACCCCAGAGTGCTGGGCCTGTTTTCCAGTTGAAGGGGGAGGGGGTCCTCCTCCTCCTCCTCCTCCTCCTCGACGTCCTCCTACTCCTCTAGGAGTTTCATGGTCTCCAAGCTTGGCCTAGAGGAGGTTCCCCATTTGGATCCTGCACCGGGCTCGGTGTCAGGAGTGGACCTCGTCCGTGGGCTCGCGCGGTTTGGATTCTCCTCCCGCGCCGCGGCTGACGAGCTGGGGCGGCGGGTACTTGACAGGAGGAAGCGCGTGCCCGATGAATTGGAGGACCAGTTTTAATTTGCTCATCTTGGCTGGTGCATGCGAATTGGGTGGCTCCCTTTCAGCTGGTGCTGCACTCCTCTTCCTCCTCCTCCTCCTCCTCTTTTTCGTCCTCCTCATCCTCCTCCTTGCCCCCTCCAACTTATGGTGGTGGTGGTGAAAAGCAGGCCCATCAAGGGAGGAGACGGCGTGCCGCCTGCCCCCCCCCCAACCCCGGAGGAGGCGCGCACCGCGCGGACCCTCGCCAGGGCCTCGAGGGACCGCCCTGGGGGGGCCGCCGGGCCGAGGTGGAGGAGGAGGAGGAGGAGGAGGAGGAGGGGGAGGAGGAGGAGGAGGAGGAGGAGGAGGAAGAGGAGGAGGAAGAAGAGGAGGTCTGGCGCGCTGGCTTCAGATCTTGGCTGGAGGACCACCCTAGTGTTTGGGGCTCAATACCTTCATCCCTACGTGCAGGTCGGGAAGCGCGCCTTGCCCTTCCCGGAGGAGGAGAAGGAGAAGGAGGAGAAACAGTCGCAATGCCAGTCCTACTCCTTCCCGTTTTCCTCTGCGTATGGGGTTCCTCTTCCTCGCTCCCCCCCACGCAGCCCCCCGGCTCTGTACCCTCAGCAGGGGGGCCGCGTTTCTGAATAGCGTAGCGCCTACGCAGTCTACACACATCACGTCCTTGTTCCGACTTTGTGGTTGCTGCTGGCCATCCCCACGATTTCGCTCATAGCGGGTTATTTCAACCCACTCATGGCCAGCACCGAATAAAGGATCGGCGAGATCATGCGCCGCACGAGCAGCTTCGTCACCCTGCGCCTTGTGGGGTCGAATGTTTCGGCCACGGTAGGCACCACCTGTCGGCGTCGCACCGTATTTCTCCTTGTGGGTTGTGCGTGAAGCAGTCTACACGGCAGGTCCTTATGTAAGTTCGTATGTAGGGTGCGCTCTGGTCTTGGGAAGCCGATTTCAAGATTGAGACATTGTTCGGGGTGTTGTTCGTCCTGCTCATATCCAGGGGCGTGGGCTTTCGGTTGGGACAAAAAACAAACTGACCGATATCACAGGCATCGCGCGCTACTACCCTCCTCGACCTCGGGGAATCACACCCCTTGCAGCACATCGTCATACCTGCGATGCGTTGGATGCCTGGCTATCCTCTCACCTGCCCGCCCTGTCGCAGCGAACAAAGCCTATAGTTGGTCTGGATCTGAATGGCGGCTTGGGATTGATTCAGACGGGGAAGGGAGGGCGGAAAGGTGACGGGCACAATGCGGTACCGCCTGAGTTTTCTAGCGGGGCCTCCTATGCTGGCATCGCTGTGAGCGAGGTCCTGGCCACTCATGGTTTTTGTGCTGATAGCTGTGCCCGAGAGAGAAAGTGCAGATTTATCCGAAGAGCGATGGATGTATCACAGTCGATTTTATCCACGCGTTTATCCATCTGGGAAGGGTGATATCGCACAACAGTCGACTGCGGAAAGTAAGTCTGCCTTTGCTCGTTGCACCGAGTGTGAGGTTTGCTTGTCATCTCCTCATGGTTAAGACCTCCTACGGTTTGTCCACGCCCCAGGCTACCTCACCCTTCTCGGGTCCGCAGCCCTGGGATCGTGATGTTGTTCCCCATATCCTAAGATGGGGTGAATGTTGTAATTTCGGCGCCTCCCACTCCCTCTTCTCTTTCTCTTCCCCTTCTCCTCTCCTTTTCCTCGTCTCCTCCTACTTTGGTTCCCTTATATTCAGATGTGCTCATACCTAGACTTACTCATACTGAAACGTACATTCATATTCGCACTCATATTCTCTCGGAGTCACTCATGTCAAGACTCACTCACATAATCACACTCATGCATGCCCACTCATGCTCACACCCAGTCATATTCGTTCATGTTTACTCATGCTCCCACCACTCATGCACATACTCACTCGCAATCGTACCCATGTACATTCTCAGCGATATAGCAGGCTTGGCACTCGGGTACCCCAAGGGGGAGCCGCCAGGGGGTATTGCACGGGCCCGTTCGCGGCCAGTTTGCGGGGCTGTCTCAGGTGGTTTGCGTGTTCCCCGTATCCTCAGATGGGGTTCTTGTTATTCCCCATATCCAAAGGATGGGGTTCCTCTTATTCCCCATATCCTAAGGACGGGGTTCTTGTTATTACTTTGACCGCGCGGACCTCCTCCTCACCTCCTCCCTCTCTCCCCCATCCTACGTAGAGTAGGATGATGCACTCTGAGTATCGTGATGCCGGATGATGGCGATAGGAGTATGTTGACGACGACGATGATGATGCAGATGATGAAGAATGCGGATGAAAACATGATGATGGTGATCATGATGATGTTGATGATGATGTTGATGATGATGGTGATGATGATGTTGATGCTGCTGATGATGATGCTGAAACACGGGTAGTGATGATGATACTGATATTGATGACGATGATGATGATGATGATGATGATGATGATGATGATGATGATGCTGATGATGATCATGACGATGACGACGATGATGATGATCCTGATGATGCTGAGGATGACGATTGTGATGATGATGCTGATGATGATGCTGATGGTGATCATTGTTTGTATGATTATCATGATGATTTTGCTTATGCTTATGCTGATGGTTGTTATGATGATGATGATGATGCTGCTGATGATGATGATGATGCTGATGATGATGATGAGGATGATGATGATGAGGATGAGGATGAGGATGAGGATGAGGATGAGGATGATGATGATGATGATGATGATGCTGATGCTGATGCTGATGCTGATGATGATGATGATGATGATGATGATGATGATGATGCTGATGCTGATGCTGATGCTGATGCTGATGATGATGATGATGATGATGATGATGATGATGATGCTGATGATGATGATGCTGATGATGATGATGATGATGATGATGATGAAGATGTTGTTGACGATGCTGATGCTGCAGATGATGATGCTGATGGTGATGGTGATGGTGATGGTGATGGTGGTGACGGTGCTGATGACCAGAGCGGGCCAGATTGCCAGGATGTCTCTAGCGGTTTGCCTGTCTGGGGGGCCAGACTCGTCTGCGCTCAGCGCAGATCCTGAGGATGTCTCAGGCAGTTTGCTGGTTTTCGCACTCCTAAGGGGGGGCCGCCATGGGTATCTCACGGTCTCCGTTCGCGCCTAGATCGTGGGGATGTCTCAAGCAGTTTGCTCGCTTGCCAGTTCAACATCCTCCACTCTCGGAGCATGTTTGGAGGATGTCTCGTGCGAGGCGCTGGTTTTCGCACCCCGGGGGGCCCAGATGACGAGGATCCCTCGAGCGGTTTGCGTGTTTGGGGGGCCAGGCTCGTTTGCGCTCAGAGCAGATTCTGAGGATGTCTCAGGCGGTTTGCTGGTTTCTTTGCACTCCGAAGGGGGGGCGCCAGGAGTATCTCACGGTCTCCGTTCGCGCTCAGGTTGCGGGGATGTCTCAAGCGGTTTGCTGTACCAGTTCAACATCCTCCGCTTTCGGAGTTTTACGGATGTCTCGTGCGAAGCGCTGGCTATCGCACCCCAGGGGGCCCAGATGGCGAGGAGGTCTCGAGCGATTTGCCTGTTTTAGGGGGCCACACTCGTCTGCGCTCAGCGCATATTGTGAAGATGTCTCGAGCGGTTTACCTATTTTGTTGGCCAGACTCGTGGGCAGGGATCCTCTTCAGGATGCCACAGGAGATACAAGGAGGTATCAGGATGTCACAGGTGGCCACAGGAGGCCCCAGAGGCCCCGAGAGGGTCTGGGAGGCCCCAAGAGGCCCCAGGAGCTGGAGGCATCCGAAGGCCAGAGGAGTGGCTCCAACCACATGGGTTTACGTATGCTCATATAGATCGGGGCGCACCTGGAGCACGATTTCTTGGTGTGTTACGTATGCTTCTATAGACTGTCCTTCTCCTGTGTATCCAACCCTGAGTGTTTTGCAAAGGTTCCTACAGATTGGGCCTCCCATGTGTGCGCGAGTCCTCGGTGTTTGACGTGTGTTCCTATACATTGCCCTTCTCCTGCGGCTCCATTCCACAGTCTTTGATGTGCGTTTGTTCCTATATCTTGGCCCTGTCCTGAGGCACAACTCCTCCCCGGGAGATCCCAGGAGGCTCCAGGAATCTCCAGGAGGCCCCAGGAGGCTTCAGGAGGCAGCATGACACCCCAAAGGCCCCAGGAGGCCCCAGGGGCCTCCAGGAGGCCCCAGGAGCTCCAGGCTCATGCGCAGAGACGCGCTCGTACTACTGAGACTCATGCTTACTCCAATTCATTCACCGTTGGATTCACTTCCAGACCGTCACTACTCAAGCCGCTTGTATTCGGAAACTCTCGCGCCTGGACGCTCACGGCGGACAGGTCCATGCTAATGGATGCACATCTGGGGAGCCCCACGCAGTGAATAATTATGCCGACCGTGCCGGCTCTTTTTTCCCAACCTTCCTTGGTTGGGAATTCGTTTTGAATGGAGCACTGCTCGCGCGTCCTTCTTTCCTTCCGCCTCCTGCCTCCCGCCTCCCGCCCCCCCTCCTGCTTGTCTCCTCTTGCCTTGCCTGGAGGGCTGCGATCTGCGAAATTGTCGCCGCTTTCGAGGGCTGCTGGTGGGTCCAGCGGAGTGGGCACCGCGCGGATCTGAGCGGTAGCTCGCCGTCCCCGGGGGGGCTGCGATCTGCGAAATCAGCGCCACTTTCGAGGGCTTTGGTGGGTCCAGCGGAGTGAGGCACCGTGCGGATCTGAGCGGTAGCTCGCCGTCCGGTAGGGGCTGCGATCTGCGAAATCAGCGCCACTTTCGCGGGCCGCTGGTGGGTCCAGCAGAGCGAGGCACCGCGCGGATCTGAGCGGTAGCTCGCCGTCCCTGGGGGGCTGCGATCTGCGAAGCTGTGGCCACTTTCGAGGGCTCCTGGTGGGTCCATCAAAGTGAGGCGCCGCGCAGATCTGAGCGTTAGCTTGCCGTCCCTGGGGGGCTGCGATCTGCGAAGCTGTCGCCACTTTCGAGGGCTGCTGGTGGTGGGTCCAGCGCAGTGAGGCACCGCGCGGATCTGAGCGGTAGTTCGCCGTCCCTGGGGGGGCTGCGATTTGCGAAGCTGTCGCCACTTTCGAGGGCCGCTGGAGGGTCCAGCGGAGTGGGGCACCGCGCAGATCTGAGCGGGGCCTCGCCGTCCCTGGGGGGCTGCGATCTGCGAAACTGTCGCCATTTTCGAGGGCTGCTGGTGGGTCCAGCAGAGCGAGGCACCGCGCGGATCTGAGCGGTAGCTCGCCGTCCCTGGGGG